AATCGAACACATCCAACAGCTGATTGCCGTTTCTGCTGCCGCATACATCTTATGGGAAGAAGCAACTGCCCTGCTTGGGGAAAAATGTGTGATGACTGCAAAAAGCTTAATCATTTTGCAGCAAAGTGTTTCGTGAAGAAAGAATCAACTTCAGAACCTCACGTTCCAGCAGCTGATTTTGTCAATGGTGTACGATTACCGGCCAAACGGAAAGGCACATTTGCAAAAATGTTGGTGAATGGAGAAGAAGTAACGTTCCAACTAGATTCTGGTGCATCCATCAACATAATACCGAGAAATTGCTTACTCAATACCAAATGGACTCTACTCGGACGCGGTTGATTATGTGGAACGGTGCAAACCTGGAGCCGAAAGGAGAAACCACCATTACACTGAAGAATCCTAGAAACGGAGTCCCTTCTGTCGTGAGGTTTGTCGTCGTGGAGCCGGGTTGTGTTCCAATCCCTGGATACGAGTCCATCGAGCGATTTGATTTGGTATCGTTTAACTATGATTCATTTGTTCATCACGTTTATAAAGACACTGAATACTAACTGAAAAGTACTCCTCTGTTTTCGATGGAAAACTGGGAAAGTTGCCAGGAACTGTGACACTTCATATAAACGACGCAGCCAAACCCGTTGTGTTACCAACGCGGCGGATCCCACTTGCTGCTCGAGAGGAATTTTCGCGTGAAGTGAATAATCTTATCACAAAGGGCGTTCTAGAGAAAGTCGATGAACCAACGCACTGGGTGAGTCAGGCTCTGGTGGTGACGAAAAAGTCTGGAGAATTGAGAATGTGTCGATCCGAAACCATTAAAAAAGGCATTAGGACGGGAGCACTTCACCCTACCCATTTTTGACGATATACTACCGGAATTAGCTAATGCAAGATACTTCACGAAGGTGGATTTGGCCTCTGTATTTGGCATCTAGAGCTGGACGATAAATCAAGCTAAATGACACTATTGGCAAGCCACTCTGGTGATATCGTTGAAAAAGACTGCCGTTCGGTTTTGAAAGTATCAAGTGAAATGTTTCCGAAATGAATCCTCCAAGCGGTAAATTATTTACCCGGTGTATTGTGTTTGGCGGACGACATTCTAATTGTTGGTAAAAATGCAGATGAACACAACAGACCGTTTGAAAGCTTTATACAGCGCTGTATACGAGACGGAATTAAGTTGAAACAGGACAAGCTAATCTTTTGTCAATCGGAAATCAGCTTTTATGATCACTTACAAGCGAAGGGATCAGACCGGACCCGGAAAAGGTAAAAGCAATTGTAGAAATGCCTCCCCCAACCGATGCGAAAGGCGTATCACGATTCAATGGAATGATAAACTATCTCAGTAGATTTCTCCCAGAAATAACGGAATTGATGCAGCCGATTGGACGTTTGACGTAAAAAGGAGAACCGTGGTTTTGGACACAAGAACAATAGGCGGCTTTTGATCGCATCAAGCAGCTTATTCTGAAAGCCCCAGTGCTGGCTTACTTCAATCCCAATGCACCTCTGTGTATACAATGTGACAGCAGTCAATTTGGCTTAGGTGCCGTGATCCTTCAAAACGGCTGTCCATTAGATTACCGGAGTAGGACATCAACGGCCTGTGAACAAAAGTAGGCCCAGATTGAGAAAGAAATGCTAACAATTGTGTATGCGCTGGAGAAGTTCAATGATTACACATTTGGTCGACTCAGATCACAAACCACTGATCACGATTGTGGATAAGCCACTCCATAGAGCTCAAAGGAGGTTACAATTGATGCTAATACGTCTACAGAAATACAATTATGAACTGCATTACGAACAAGGTAAACGCATGTTTCTGGCGGACACGTTGTCACGAGCCACACTGCTCGACACAGAACAGGAAAAAAAGCTGGATTCCGTGAACGTGGTATTGGCAGTGATGCAGTTAAAGATATCTCACATACGAACTGCAACTATTGACGATCCGAGCATGCAAGAACTTAAAGGAGTTATCACTTGTAGTTGGCCAGAAAGCAAAAAAAGACCTTCCGATGGACGTACTGCCCTACTTCAAATTCTGAGATGAACTAACTGTGCACGATGAACTGATTTTTCTTGGTGAAAGGTTGGCTGTACCAAAAGCGACTCAACGAAACTTAATGCGTTTGATACATTGCTCTCACGCCGGTATCAACGGATGCGTCAGTCGCGCCAGGGAGACATTATTGGCCAGGTATGTCAGAACAGATAAAACAGTTGATTGCTAAAGGTGAAATTTGCAGGAATTATGATCAGTAACAATCGAAGGCACCGATGAATATGCGTGCAATATCAGAGAGACCATGACAGATGGTAGCGCTGGATATTTTTTCATCATGGAAAAGACACCTACTTGATAACCGTTGACTACTACAGTGACTTTTTCGAAGTTGATTTACTGCGATCCAGCACATCGACGATCATTAATAAACTGCGCGTTCATTTTGCACGACACGGATTACCACTTCAGGTGATTTCCGATAGTGGCCCCCAGTTTTGTAGTACCGAATTCCGGAAATTCAGAGAACAATGGCGTTTTGAGCATCACGTTACTATCCCCTATCATAGTCAGTCCAATAGCAAAGCAGAAAGCGTAGTCAAATCGGTAAAGCAGCTTATCGAAAAATGCGGCGCAGATGGTAGAAACCCACTAATGGCCCTGCTTTTGTAACGGAACATACCATCGGCCAACATGGGAACCAGCCCAAGCCAACGTTTATTTGGCAGACGCACATGCACGGTTCTATCCATCTGCGATCAGTTACTACAGCCACAGACTACGCCATCAACAATCATACAGCCAAGGCCAAGGAAACGCATGGCGCTACAGAAGAGGTTTGACGACTGCGGCAGTAAACCTCTGTGCTCACTCAGATCAGGGGACATGGTTTGGATACAACCACTGGAGCCAACGGAGAACGTGTGAGTGAAGGGAGAAGTGATAGCGCGAGTAACAAAAAAATCGTACCTAGTACGCTGTGGTCAACGGATAATACGGAGAAATAGAGTTTATTTGAGGAAAGGGCAAGAGAATGATGACGAATACGAAGAAACAGAAGATCCAAATACCGTTCAGGAGGATGTAGAAATCTGTGTACAAGAACCGCAGCAAGAAATACCAACGACGGGTATGACAGAACAATCTCGATCCCGAACACAAAGTGACTAATGTACTAATCGGGATCATAACGAAAAACTTCCGAAAGAAGAAAGATGTATTGAAATGTGTTGTTCGAAGTGATTGTTTGTTTTACTGCATCAATTGTGTTTTTATGGTTGGTCCTTATAAGAATCTAATTTTGCAGACCGAACAATCTGATTAGTCCAGGTTTATATATAAACGCCTGTGATTCCCTTCCCAAACGTGCTTCGTGTTCAGTGAACCAGAGAAAATATATCGAGAGCATTTACCGAAGAACCGATTTTTGATAGCAGGGGGAGTTCCATCAAATGAAATCAATTATTCCAGCAAAAACCTTAGTAATGTTGCAGTTTGCAACTTGAAAACAATCTTAAACACCATGCTTCGCTCATCTCAGCAATAGCCTCCAGGGTTGTGACTCAGTTAAAAACTTTCACAATAGGATGGCTTGTTGTATGAGAGTCTTAGAGGATTTGATTCAATTGCATCAGATAATTCTTCGAGTATAGAGCAAATAAACATAAAATAAAGAAGCTATAAAGCACTGGACAGCTGTTTCGACCTGAGTGGGTCTCATTAGCAGGGACATTTCTGTAACCGAGTGGCTGAACATATTTCAAATTGGTTCAAAAGTCAGATGCTACAATCGAGATCAAGTTCATCGCATGAGTACGATGGTTAAAACTACAAAAGACTACTAATCCCGAAGTGGTTATCAACATCTATGATGGAAAACACACTCGGTGGTTTGCCTGACCACTATACGGGATCTCTGCTCACATAAATTATGATAGCAACACAGCAAGTCGATCATTTTTTCGAACCTTGTTAACGTAATCGTTATTCGAAGCTGTGATCATTAAGCAAATCACCCCAAGCAAACTAAAATTTATTGAAAAAATATGTTCGCGCAACGTTTGCAGTGACTCCAATCCAATCTTTTGTACAAATATCCCGCTCTCATTCGTGCTCGTTTACTGCACTTATTGACATATTGTTTTGCATAGCAAAGACAAAGCAATATTGTCACTCACTGACTACTCCATGCTTTAAACGAGATGCGCGTTTCAGTGGACAATTTGTTTACGCTATTTAAAAGGGCTTTGATCTGGGTAATCTCTAAAAATCTATCATGAATCGAATCCAACGGAACACAATGAGGACTAGTTTGACTAAACGGCACCAAAAAATTTTCAATTCGTTCTTTCGCAGATTTAAGTCTTATGTTCCCATTGTGAACAGTTCAATAACCTCGGTGGGATTCAAACCCACGCAAGCTCATGTACAAGGCCAAACTGAGAGCACAGTTATTTTCACAATCGAATGACCCATACAACCTACAGAGGCAAATGATATCCATCAGATCTACCAAAAATATCAGAAATGAAGACACCCTGCAAAATGATACGTTCAAATGATGAGCATTAGCCGGGGATTGATAAACAACCTATGTCTCAGCGTCCAAACGAGTATTAAAATCTTGAAACATTACATTTTTACCAAACAACAATGAGTCCCTGGGTGACATGCATCGACAACACACAGCTAAGAGACCAACATTTAGTGAGACTGGCACTGATTTTCCTCTTGTTCACGGAGGTTCAATGATCAGTCCGTTAACCTTGAGTAATGTGGAATCTATCTATTTGGAATCTATTCACAGGTATTTATTTCGCTCGTGCAGGCATCGCTGGTATGAGATTTTGACCACAGTCCAAGGCAAATCATATGATCGAAATCAGTAGATTATTATTATTATTATTATTCTGTGCTTGAAATGGTCACTTTGCAGTTCCCCTGTTGCATTATATGACCGAGTGGTGCATTTGGCCTGACTTACCAATCAGGCGATCAATCTCGGCCAGACTGATTAGCGAGTGCAAACGGCAATCTTTGATCAGTTGACAGAATTGCATGTGACGCATGATGATCGTGTTATCCGGCAAATGTTCAATGCCTAAACGTCCGTAAAATTGATAAATACATCGCAAGGCAGCCAGATTTTCCGTGATCAAATTTTGCATCTGTATTTCGGATTTTTGAAAGCAAAAACACATGCAATACAGTTAGACTCTATGTTACAAACGTTGATGTCTTGATTTGTCGTCACTCACTCGGATCCAAGCTTCTTCTCAGTGCATAATATCCACGCCCAAAATATACAGTATTTTAAAATATTCGGAAATAGTTAATGTCCACCACCATTGATCATCTGTGAATGGTTAACAGAACCATTTGGAGTATTCATCAGGGGCTGGACTGAGATTTTGCACCAATCTGTAATTCTTGTGATATATATATTTATGTAATGCGCGACACACTAACATGATTTAATTTATTTCCCACATATCCTAGCGTCTGCATTCTCCATTCAAATCAAATCTCGTCAGAACAACTCAATACAAGGCACAATACGGCATACTGTTTCAAGTAAAAAGCGGAATACAAACTGATACCATACTTTGGCATAATAATGCTGCTATCCACTGCTCAAATATTGCTACAAGTTACCTGTTGTTCCGTAGGATGACGATCATGCAATGACCGGCATACAACCTACATATGAAATCCAACTGAGAATAATTTGGGCCTGCCTGCTGAACAAGAATTCAACCAATCCATGATTTATGAGTGGGTGAATCACAGGTTTTATGTGAAGTATACCAAAAGGATTGATTTTGGTCCACAAGTAAATTTTCAGTTGGGGATTAGACTTCCGCATTTGTATTCAAGCGTTAGCAAATTACATGAAAGCTTTCAACAACAAAAGAACCACCGTCAAAAAACAAACAAAAATAGGGGACATCCAGACTGCAAGAATGTGAATTAACTAAGAAATACATCAGAAAGTTCAGACGGGACACTCCTTTGTCAGTCAGTTACCGAGACGAGTTTCTGTGGGCAAATATTCGAGGTGAGATGAGCCCATGTGTAAATGATGATTGCTTTAAGATAGAATTTTATCAGCAACCTTCAAGTGTGCATCAATATAACCACCACAAATATTGTTTGTCACTACAAACGAGCTTGTTCGCTACTCTGTGTTTTCTTGCAATATATATATATATATTCCATTTACCTGTTTCTAATAGAATAAATATTGTAGTCAATTTGAACTGATCAGATTGCAAAGTTTATTTTATCCATGGTCATCAGATCATTAATTCAATAAGCGTCAAATTGAAATTTCGCTCTCAAAGAAGTTCATCACTGACCTTATATGTTTACTCATCTAGTAAATATTTGGACACCGAGTATCTGAATGCACAAAGATAAGAATTCTAATGACGTTTTTCAATAAGATCGCTCTGACTGTATTCAGCAGTCTCTACTCAGCTTGTGTGTGTGAACTTGACTACGGTCAACCTTGAATAGTATGATGATGATGAACGATACACAGTACGCAATAAATATCACAGCATAATATTACCATTAACCGTTAGATTTATTAAATCTCTAGGGATGTTGGTGTTTCGGACAGTCAGATTAAGACGTACGGCTCGAAGTTCCGCCTCTTGAAAATACTCCATCGGGATATGAGGTCGAAGATAGTGTGGTAGCAGATTGCTATCTGATGTGTCACTGAGTTGCGCGCTAGATGCATCACCATCACCGTTCGAACTGCCTGTAGTGCGTGGGGGTAAGAAGAGATGTGTAGAACGAACGTGTAAGGGAGAACGAACGTTAGTGTGAATAAATAATCATATTTGTAAGATTGATATACCTGAATTTATCACTTGGAAACAGCTGTGACATTTGTTTCCTAACTGGAATCATGACTATACAGCCAAATCTTTCTCTCGCGAGTGTGACATGCATATTCAAATGGTTCAGTTGTTTGAATCAAGGTTGTTTCAAACCACTTTTTTCAAAGAGAAAGAGTGATACAGTTCTTTAGTGTTCTATCATCCTATTTATCAGTTTCGTGTTTTCTTTGTAGTTATAATCGAAGCCAATTTTTTTTGATCGAATCTGTTATTCAGGATGCTATGTGCTTGCATGTGTGTGAAGATTTTATCATCCATTCGTTTGGCTTTCAAAGGAACAGAAAGTTGAGTTTTTGCAATAAACTTCCGATGAGATTTGGCCACTAGATTTCTCCGCTACAAAATTTATCACGTTCTGTTGTTTCCTGTTTCATTTTTACGTATTTATTGCTTATCACTCACCTTTTATAATCGGTAGTCGGGTATTCAAGCGCTCCAGTAGAGCTGAAGTGGTCTCACAAGTTGCACTTTCCAGGCCCGGGCCGAAACACAAACGATCTTCGAGAAACATACGCTCAAAAATGCGACCATCTTTTAGTATCAGAGTGCCCTGAAAGGAGAACAGATTTATTTAAGAACAGTTTAAGCAATAATACAATTTACTCCTTCAACATAGTATCAATCACTCAGCAATATATACTTCATTCGTGAAGGTTGTCAATAAAATGTCACAAAGAATATACATACTAATTTGAATCCAATGGCAAGCCGCTTAATCTAATTACAAAATAAAATATGTGGCACACAGAACAAACGAAATGCTCAAAAGTTGTTTCAACATGGGTTTCGTCGCAGGCTACCGTGTACCAGTAATCTGCTCCTGATACAAGGGGAGTAGAGAGAGCCATTGATCGCGGTGATGCAGCAAACGTAGTGTGCCTCGATTAGTCCTAATCATTCTGCCGAATGCAATACTGAGGAGCAACACAAATATGGAATTCGGGGATCTGTACTGGGTGGGACAAAAGAATTTCTTCAACAACGCGGCAAAGCAGTTCAAGCTTTTAAGGTACTTTCTGATTCTGTCAACTTAGTTTGAGTAGTTCTAAAGGTGAAAACATATGTTTGACTACACTGTGTTATTAATCAATGGGCATATTCCGTGTTTCAAAAACTACCTATCCGCCCGAGGTGGTAAGAGGGCCGAATCAGTTTCTCGAGTTTTCCACCAGACTCTGTGAGGCTAACTGTTGTGTAAAATTCATCGATGAATGTATTTCTGCTAACCAGTATCCCACCACAGACGATATCGGATCTCTCCTAACAGCAAGACGCTCAGGCATCATGCTCTTACTCAGTTGGATTCTACTAAACCCTCAGCCACTATGCTCAAAAGAAGTGTGTCACAATACCAACTGTCGGTTCACTTATTGAGTGAAAATCACAGGAATTTATTTCTGGAATACGTGAAAATGATTGTTCATCGCATAATCCGAAGAGAAAATGTTGTCACTGAATCGTACACTGAGCCCTCTCACACCACAAGGACGTTTCCCAAGCCATCCTGAACGGTACGTATATAATTTTTCCAGTACTCAGTTGAACCGTGTTCTGTTCGAGGCACAATCACTTGGGTCCAAATTTTGTTGTTTTCGTCCTAAGGAACGTCAGGTTGATTTAGAAGTACATATGAAAACTTAGTCAGGCAAACAATTGATCTCATACCAATTTCTTCGGAAGATCTAGCACGTTTTAAATCGTCACTGGTTACAACTTGCTATCAATACCGACGTTACCGAATCCGTAACAAGGGACCTCTGACGCAAAACACGCTCTAAAAGACCTACAATGTAATCCTGAAATCCTCTTAAGCAAACCTGACAAAGGGACTGGCATTGTGGTTATGTATCATGCCGATCACTTATCCAAAATGCTCCAACTTCTGTCCGATCAAACAAAGTTTTCTTGCGATGTAATTTTCTAATTATCAAACGGGGAAAGCCAAAACGCAAATTACCGACATATTAAAACGGCTCAGCGATCAAGGTTATATATCATCCTGTTTGTCTGAAGACCTCAAACCCGTTGGCTCTAACGTGCCCCGCCTATTTGCGCTACTCAAAATACACAAACCAGGTATACCAGTGCGTCCCATTATCTACATGACAAATTCACTTCAGCATGCAACTGTCCATTGGTTAGCTAGACTTTTGGAATCCGTAGGTCAACGTGTCGCCCAGCATACATTCAGAGATGCTTTTCAGTTTGTTGAAATAACCAGAAATGCGAATAATAACAACCGACTGATATTCTCTTTGTTTCTCTCTTTATAAGTGTCCTCCTGTTAGAAACGGTTGATTTCATTTGTCAGCTTATCAACATAGAAACAATATCCGTGGGTATTCTTGTCACAACTCCCAAAGAACTCATACTTCAATGCACGCGAAATGTACAATTTTTGTTTAATAACACTGTCTATCGCCAAGTCGATGATGTTGCTATGAGTTTACCCCTTGAACCTGTTCTCATCGACATCTTCATGGCCAAGTCAGAGATAACTTCCTTATCTACGGTTATTAGTTCTTTTTTTGAGCAATGTCAATGTAGACGATATATTTTGTGTGGTTAACAAGAACACTAATCTTGCCCAAGTCGAGTCAGAATTCAACGCTGCACATTCGTCAATCAAGTTCACAAATAAACCAGAGGCGAATGATTTCCTTCCGTTTTTGGATGTTCATCTGACCAGACACTCCGATGGCTCTATCCAAAGAAAGATATATCTCAAACCAACATGTGGTGGAAAGTACACAAATTTCCATAGCTTCGTCCCACTCTATAAAAGAACGTAACCTCATACGCCGTGTCCTACAGAGCAAGACGCATTTGTTTAGAAGATACTTTGAAGGACGAACTTGAACTAGTGAGCAGAACCTTATGGGAAAATGGCTATCCGAAGAAGTTCGTCGACCGTAATTGGACCCAACAGAATAAGCCAACTAAATTACCAAAAGCGGAGAATAAAATGCTTTTCTTAAAACTTCCATTCAAAGACAGTGTCGCCAGTGAGAGGGTCAGTAGAGTTTTATCCTTAACACTGAAATCTACATTCAATGCCGCTCAGATAAGATGTGTGTTCTCTACGTCACCAAACATCCAATGCTACAACAAAGGTAAACTGCCTATGGTGACCTCATCTCTGAGTGTCTACCAATTCAAGTGCACCTGTGGTGCGACTTATGTGGGCCGAATAACAAGGCAGTTATCTCAACGGATCAAAGAACAAAATCCACGCTGGCTCACATAGGGTGGGAGTGGAGCTGTGTCAAGCTCGATCTTGGCTCATCTGGACACTTGGTTGACATGGGCTCGGTATTTATAATCATTTATCGAGTCTCACCACACCCCTTGAGAGTAATACGGTTTCGGACGTTAGCAATCACAGAGGTGATTAGCATCAGACTCATGAAGTCTGAGCTCTGTGCACAACCCAAATTGATTCAATCTCTCGAAATCCCTTGACCAGGGGAAGAGAAAATCGCTTGTTCACACGACCATGACGTAACACCATGACGTAATGATTTTGGTTATGTGATCCAAACTGTGCACGAAAATTTTGAGGTCTTTCGGGCTCGTTGCCAAACACATGACTCGTTCACTCTTTTATTTAACCGTATTGAAATTGTTTCATATAAATGTGACTGTAAAGGGTATCAAGCTTGGATTAGCCCATTCGATTATTCAGAGGTACCAGACACTCTTGATGATTGTAAAGGCTTGAAAAGGAATTCACCGAAAACATATGTTCGACTACATTACGTTCTTATATATATTTGCTTTTTTGTGTGAAAATAACCTATTCAATTATTGCACTCTAGCTTTGTTCCCCTCCCCGTGTTTCCCTCTTGAGACTACAGATCCCCACGTTGCGTGTAAACAAACGGGAGCATAACAAAAGGTTGTCATCTACGACAAGCAAAACTGCTTAAAATGTACATTCCAGATCACTGACTTGGTCTTTGGAGGGGTGTGTGTGTGTTCAGAACGTGTAACATTGAAGGTATCATGCGCTTGGCTGATTTGCTATATGTCAATTAATCAGATGACCTATTTGTCTCGTACTCACTTGTCCATGCTTCAAATTGTTTTTCCAATACCCGACATATTTTGATCCATTTGGATAGTGAAACGTTCCCAAACCGTTTCGCATCCCATTCTCCCACTGTCCATCGTATACATTTGGTAGCGAGTATTGAGAGGTGCGTACACGTAGTATATGCCAAGCATGACATCCAAGACCGTGCTGTATTGAAAGATGCAAGTTTTATATGATGATATGGACCAGTTGAAATGAGATCCATACTTCGTAAGAAACAGGTGTATCCATAGGATGATAAGCGACACACCCACGTGGACATGGTACAGCATAGTCTACAAAGCACTTGACTAAATGGCACGCTCGCTGAACGTGAGCTATCTGTTGTTCCTTGGGGTATGCTTATAGAAAACGTTATATATCAGTGCATTGCCCAAAGCTACTGCACGGTGCAGAGACTTGGTTACTAAAAGAACTGGATTAAAATAGACTGTCAGTGTTCGAACACCGCTGTCTACGTCGCATTGCACGAGTCTGGTGGGGTAACCGGACAGGCGATACTAATGTACAGCGTAGGTAAATAAACGCGGTCGTCCACTGGAGCACGTAGTCGACCTCCATAGATTACGCCAGTTGGAGTATGTGTCACGCATGTCTTCAGATAGATAGCCACGATGAATAATGTTTGCCGAAGAAGGTAACGGT